ACACACACACACACACCCCCCTCCACCTCCCGGGTTCAAGCCATTCTCCCGCCCCAGCCTCCCGAGTAGCTGGAACTACAGGTGCCTGCCACCAGCCCAGCTAACTTTTGTATTTTTAGTAGAGACGGGGTTTCACCATGTTGGCCAGGCTGGTCTCGACCTTCTGACCTCAAGTGACCTGCCCTCCTTGGCCTCCCAAAGTGCTGGGATTACAGGCATGAGCCATCACACCTGATCAAGAATAATTTTGTAAGTCAATAATTTTTTTCTAAATTTACTAACTGGAATCCTTCTAAAAGTACTTCATCTCATCAAATATTTGGTTGTCCTGAAAATAGGATAGGTAGTCTATGTGCTTTGATTTTTTCTCTTTATTAACCAATTTTGGGAATAACCCAATAATCTTGAAAGTTGGCCAGTTTTTAAAGTATCAATATAAACTCATGAATTTCACTTTAAAATTTGATGTATTTTAATTCATTGTAGCATTATTCTTTTTGACCCTCAAATATGAACAGTTTTCTTGCTTTCAGACAAGAATTCCCAGGCTCATTTTATACGTTATCTGCTCCAAACCTGGACTCACATTTTCCCAAAGACACCTGACTCTTTTGGGTGGAAAATGGTATCTGAAGACCACAATCTGGGTGGTAGGGATGCTCAGTATTTCTGAGTTGATACTGACCCAGAGGCTAGTAGGAAACATTTTTTGAAATACGAAATTAAACCATCTTTTCATTTTGACATATCCAATTCAAAGTTAAGATTTTAAGATTTACTTCATTTTATGGCATCATTATTTGCTTTGTCCTAATCTATCTTATCTATCGATATGTGTATCAATGTTATTACTATTCAAAAATAACCATACCAGCATCTTTCCTATGAATATATTGAATGCAGTTCAAGATTTCTTTGCAGTTTCTTTCATCTTTAGGGTATATTCCACTAAAGACTGGTAGTAAAATACTATTTATTGAGCTGGCTGCTCTGTTTTGAATAGATCTATTGTCTAATTCCCCCTTTACAAGCTTTAAAAAATCTGATTCATGCTTTTTATTAGTTTCTATAGTTTTCTTACATTTTTTTTTACCTCGTTTTCTTAAGTTTGGGTTTAAGTTTTCATTTGCTTTGTGTCCATGTGTCTAGTGTACCTTCACTGTAGGTATCCCTCACGCCACTATTTTTTTCCTCTTTTTTGAAGAATAGGCAATATCTTGGGGTTTGACCTCCACAACCCTTTTCCACTGCTCATGTGTAAGCGAGACACTTTTCTGTATTCTATATTTTAAAATGAAGTTTCTGTGTGGGGGAGTGGGTTGCGCCATGAAAGTCTTTCTAGCTTTACAGCTGCAGGATTCTTTCTTCTTGTTACCCTTTTTAAAAAAAATACGGCCTTTGGGTAGCCACCTCTGTCACAATATTGCTACAATGCTCAGTTTATTTTATTTTAGATTCAGAGGGTACATGTGTAGGTTTATTATGTAAGTATACTGTGTGTGATGCTGAGGGTTTGGGCTTCTACTGATCCCCTACCCAAACAGTGAACACAATATCCAATGGGTAGTTTTTCAACCCTACCCTTTTCTCCCAACCGCTTTTGGAGTTTCCAGTTGTCTACTGTTCCCATTTTTCATGTCCATGTGTACCCAATATGTTTAGCTCTCACTTATAAGCAAGAATATGTGGTATTTGGTTTTCTGTTTCTGTGTTAATTCACTTAGGATAACGGCCTCCAGATGCATCCATGTTGCTGCAAAGGACATGGTTTTGTTCTTTTTTATGGTTGTGTAGATGCTCAGTTTAGACTCTAGTCAATGAATTTTTTGCTAAATAAGCTCTTTCCAGAAGGGAGCTTTTGCAAGGTATTTCTAAGAGCCCTGAGGATCCATGCCAACCCAGCATGATTTGGGCTTCCCGCAGTATCTTTGCTTTTACCTCCAAATTTTTATCAGTTACGTCTACTTAGCCTTTCACTCTGAATGGAGACATCTCTTTTAGGGGTGAGAACTTGGGTGATTCTCTGGCCCCAGGGTCTTAAAAGTAACTTTTGACTTTCCTTCACACTTTTCCATACCACTGATATTTGCAGGGAACTTGCTGCTAGTGGTGGTTTGGCCTTATCTGCTCATATTTAGGGGTTCACTGGGATACCTTTTCCTAATTTTGTTGATGTTTTTCATGTTTTTTTGTATGCAATTCTAGTTGCTCAGTGAGATAATTTTCTGGTGAGAAAATCTGAAGGCATTCAAAAAGCACAGTGCCATTGCCTTCTTGCTTTTCATTGCTCTGGTCCTAATACCTACACATCTTAATTTTAATAGTCTATAGCAAAGAGTTAAAATGCTAATATTTATGTTCATTAGCGTTCTTTTGCTTTTCTGATAGGTAAGATGCCTTTTCCCAATAATCACGTATGCAATAAAATCCTGCACCAACCTATCATCAGAGGAAATAAATTTGTAAGAACTTAAAGCCATAATGGCTCTTTGCTAGTATCCTAACACTCTTTAAGTTACTTATCCAGCAAATATGGATTCAGTACCCATTATATATATGACATATACATATTATACATATTATAAATCTTTTTTTTTTTGTTGTTTGAGACAGAGTCTTGCTCTGTTGCCCAGGCTGGAGTGCAGTGGCACGATCTTGGCTCACTGCAACCTCCACCTCTTGGGTTCAAGCGATTCTCCTGCCTCAGTCTCCCGAGTAGCTGGGATTACAGGCATGTGCCAACACACCTGGCTAATTTTGTATATTTAGTAGAGACAGGGTTTCTCCATGTTGGTCAGGCTGGTCTTGAACTCCTGACCTCAGGTGATCCACCGCCTTGGCCTCCCAAAGTGCTGGGATTACAGGTGTGAGCCACTGTGCCCAGCCTATACTCTGTTCTTAGTATTAAGGCATAGACAAAGAGATTTGGATCTTATGTTAGGACCTCCTAATTTAGTAATATTAAGCTTAGAATAGAATTTAAAATACAATACTATAGATGTATAATGATTAGTTCTCTTTAGGAGGGTTCTTAATATATATACTATGTAATATTAGCCATTAAAATCACATTGCAAAATATTATTTATTGGATGGAAAGAGTTCACAATGTATGGCTAAGTTAAAGCATGTTATAAAACACATCTCATTTTTGTTAAAATGTTTCTATGATTGGGTTTATGTAGCTAAAGAGAAACACATTACATCAATGACTGTAAATTAGTATAACCACTTTGGAGTGAAATCTGGTAACACCTAGAAATTCTGTTTCTAGATGTATATATGTAAGTGCATGAAGATATTACAAGGAAATTCATTATAATATTTGTCAATAAAAAGGAAATAATCCAAATATTTATCAATAGATGAACAGATTAACAATTTGTGGCATATACATAAATGACATATTATTCATTCATAAAAAGGAATGAAATTCTAATACAAGCTACAACATGGATGAACCCTGAAAACATTATGCTAAGTAAAATAAGCCAGACTTAAAAGGACAAATATTGTATTATTACACTTATAAGGAATCTAGCAGAAAATAGAATAGAGGTTACCAGGTGCTGGGGGGGAATGGAGGGAGAAAGGAATGGGGTTATTGCTTAATGGTTACAGAGTTTCGGTTTGGGATGATGAAAAATTTCTGTATGTGGACAGTAGTGATGGTTGCATAACATTGTGAATGTATTTAATGCCCCTAAATTGTACACTTAAAAATGGTTAATTATATGTTATGTAAATTTTACCACACCCACATCTATAACTCCCTGGCTAGTTATGAAAAAGTCTTTGTCCTGAATATTGCAGACAAACAGGAGGAAGGCTTGATCATGCCAGTAATAATGCCTGGAAAGTACCTAAAATAACTGAACCCCAAATGTATCATGGCTCATTCCTCTCAAAGCTTTGTTGCTTACCTGTATCAGACCTGGCATAATCTCTGGCAAAAGGAGGTTAAGGGTTTCCTTGGACACTCTTTCTATCACTTTTGTTTGCATTTTGATTGCAGCCAGATTAATTGGATAGTCTGCAGTTTGGATGATAGGACAAAGCACTTTGATGCACTGCTCTGGACTAATTGAAGTGGCCAACACTGATGCTGCTTCCTCGGCAGATCTCACCACCTAAAAAAAAACAGGAAAGTAAGCCAGAAAGTATTTTTAAAATATTATACTATGTCCTGGAAGTATAAACTTCATTAAGTATTTAATATAATATTTGGAATTTGCTTTGAAAATGCTACAGTAAACAAACATGAAAAGTGAGGGTGCAGATTACAGATACAAAGGACTGGCAAAATGTCAGTAACAGCTGAAGCTAGATGATGGATAAATGGGCTTTATTACACTACTTTCCCTTCTTGTGTTCTTTTTTGCTGTTGGCTAAAGTAGTTTTTTTTTTTTTTTTGAGACACGGTCTTGCTCTGTCACCCAGGCAGGAGTGCAGTGGCTTGATCATCAATCACTGCAGCCTCAAACTCCCAGGCTCAAGTGAGACTCCCACCTCAGCCTTCTGAGTAGTTGGAACTTTTTTTTTTTTTTTTAAGTAGAGATGAGGTCTTGCTATGTTGCCCAGGGTGATGTTAAACTCCAGAGCTCCAGCAATCCTCCTGCCTCGGCCTCCCAAAGTGCTGGGATTACAAGTGTGAGTTGCCGCGCGCAGCCTTAAAGTAGTTTTTAAATCAAATTGTGGTCTAGCTGTATTAGGGTGAAGAGGCTCTATTTACTTAAGACTACAATGTGACTGGAGTCCCCTGCATAAGCCACGCTGAAGCCCTGCTCATTATTAGTACTCTCATCTCTAGGAGTGCTTGAGCCCTTTGTATCACATAAATAAAATAAAAATCATATGATTAATGTGTTGTCAAAAGTTAACATACTATTCCTCCTTGTTTTCATAATGATTTTCTTTCTTCTGTATTGAGCTTTGGGGAGGGTAAAACACTGGTTTCATGATGATGACAAGAAATGGCTATCTTCTTATTAGAGTCTGTAATCTCTAAAGACAGTCTTAAGATCATGTAAAAATAACTACTTTTGATGCTACTTTGGCAGTGTCTCACTTATGATCTCAATAGGTGAAAAATGCTTAGAAAGGTACAGTGGGAAATACACTTAAAAAAAAAAAAAAAAAAAAAGGCCAGGCGCGGTGGC